TGATGGTATCTAAATTATAAAGTGTCATGATAAATTCAACTGGCAACTTGGGCAATGAGACTGATGGGAGTTTTCCTCTAAGTGCCCTGAGGCCTTCAAAACGGACGGACTCTTGGCAGGACATCCAGTGCACAGCTCCATGGGTTTTTGTATTTTCAAAAGCTAATGAAACAAATGAGCCTAGGAACAACCCCAAGGCCTCTGTCACTTAATTGAATTTGATTTGTCAAAAACCAAAATTATAAATGCTAGTCCTCTGTTCAGAAGTAAGAAAGGATTTTCAGTTGAGTAATGAAACAGTGAGGGCTCAACCTAGGTGATTTGGCTCTAAGTGAAATTGGGGATGCTGGTGGTTGTATGTGAATCCACTTCTGGTGGCCAGCAGTGATGGAGTAATGAGTGTGTTTCTCATTAGCAGCTGTTATTACACAAGAAGACAAATTGCCTTTTGGCAAATGATGTGGATCCTTTGGATCCTTTTCCTATGTCAAAACTTGTAAAGTTTCTCATATATATGTAACTTTTTTCCTGATTTTCTTTGCTATGTGGTCATTTCTAGCCCTGGGCTTTGGTATGGAAAGCCATGTTAGGCTGGGTAGCTAAAATAAGGCCTTATTTGTATGGCATTTGTTTACCTTTGCCTTTTTGTGAAAAATTATGATGGAGGTACCTTATTAGTTTGTGGACTCTGAAGTCTGTATTGCAGCGACCTTTGAGGACTGATGAGAACGTAGTACTAAATAGCTGGATTGGTGCTTAATTTCTATGTTAGAATTGTTGATGTGCTGTTGCTGGCTTTGTTGCATTGTGGGGCAGGAAGAAGGAAGGGAAGAAAATAACAGATGTAAGAGAAAATATCAAAGTGAGAGAAGTTGTCTCTGATGTAAGTTATGCAGACAGAACTAAAGCTGTCAGAGAAAATAGCTGCTGGAAGATTTCATGACAGTGGCTAAGTACCAAAATAAGTGAGTGATACACATTGGAGGAATAATCTTAATTTCACAGGGTGCAGCAGTGTTAGACATCAAGGGTGAGGTCCTGGAAACCAGTCAAAACAATGATTGTTGTGAACATTGTTTTGTGCTCAGCAGGAGTAAATATGGTAAATATCACTTCAGAAATTGTTAAGGAAGAGTTGAGAAGAAAACTGAATGTTATTAAGACTATTGTCTAAACTCATAGTCTGCCAGCATATGAATTGTACTAAGTGGTCCTTGTTACCCTGTCTCAGAAGAGATGCAACAGAGCTGGAAAAAATGCGAAGAAAAGCTTTTTTTTTTTTTTTTTTTTGTCTCTATTAAAGCATGGTCTTTGTATGAGGATAGATGAACTGTGCTAATGTGCATCTGAGGAAAAAGAACAATTGAGCACTGCTGATAGAGATCAGTATTAGAGAGATAATAAAGATGAATATTATAATAGAGATGAATATTATAATGAGCAGTTGGGAAGAGTGAACTGAAAAGTAGAAGATATTTTTCTTATGAAAGGTGATATAGAAAGTGCCAGAGAAATTCAGTGAGAATTCAGAATGGATTCTCCTGGAATGGTACATGTCCAAATGATTAAATTCATTGCTAGAAATGTTGTGGTCCAGAAGTACTGAAGAAAAACAACATCAACAAAAGACCACAACCAAGTTGGCGTATTTGTGTAGGTTAGAACCCTTGGGTGTGAACAGAGAGCAATCAAATGCAAACTTTTGACTTATGTGCTACTGACTTCCATAACCTGGAAGCCACACCAAAAGAGAGAAAAGAGGCTGCAACTGCACACCTGCCCACTGGTGCTTTTGTAAAGATAGCAAAACCTAGAAAACCTACCACTTAATTGATGGGTGAATCTTGGGTTATATATTCCCGTCCAGCAGTCTATTCCAAACGAGTTTTCTTTCTTCCCTGAGGAACTAGTGCTGATTAAAAAAAGATCACTGAGAGAAGCCTGAGAGCTGTCAAAAGGAAAAGGGAACTTGGGGCAGTCAGTGGATGGTACAGGGAGTACAGGTGGTGTTTTCCTCTACACCTTCATAGCAGAGAGGAATGCTGAGAGAACCAGGAGAACCCAGGAAAAAAAAAAAGAGAGAAAGGAAGACCTGCGGAACTGCAGGCCAATGAAGGAGATGTTAAGGAACATATGAAATGTGGAAGTGATACGAGAAAGCCAACATGACTTTATCAAGGGTAGATCGTGCCTGACTGATTTGGTGGCCCTCTGTGATGGACACAGCATTGGTGGACAAAGGAATAGTAACTGATGTCATCTACCTGGACTTCTGCAAGGCTTTGACATCATCCTGCACCACATCCTTATCTCTAAATTAAAGACAGATGAATGTGAAGGCTGGACTATTAGGTGGATAAATAATTGGTTGGATAGTCATCGCCAGAGGGTTGTTGTCAAAGACTATATGTCCAGGTGGAGGCTAGTCACAGGTGGTGTCCCCCAGGTCTCCTTCCTGGGACCAGTGCTCTTCAGCATCTTTATTGATGACATAGACAGTGGGATTGAGTGCACTCTCAGCAAATTTACCGATGACACCAAATTTAGTGGTGCAGTTGACACAATAGAAGGGAGGGACACCATCCAGAGGGACCTGGACTCACTCAAAAAATAGGCACACATGAGAATCTAATGAACTTTGATGAGGCCAAGTGCAAGGTGTTTCACTTGGTTCAGGAAAATCCCAGATACAAGCACAGACTGGGAGAAGAACTCATTAAGAACAGCCCTGTGAAGAAGGACCTGAGGATCCTCATGGACCAAAAGTTGGACCAAAAGCTGTACGTGAGCCAGCAGTGCACTTCTGCAGCCTGGAAGACCAACTGTATCAACAGAAGGGTGCCCAGCAGGGAAAGAGAATGGATTGTCCACCTCTGCTCTGCCCTTGCAAGGCCCCATCTGGAGTACTACATCTGGACCTCAAGCCCTTAATACAGGAAGGAGGAAGAGCTATTGGAGTTGATCCATAGGGGGGCCACAAAGATGATCAAAGGGCTGGAGAACCTCTTCTGTGAAGAAAGGTTGAGGGAGTTGAACTTGTTTAGCCTGAAGAAGAGAAGGCTCTGGGAAGATCTAGTTGCGGCCTTCCAGTACTTTAAAGAAGCTTATAAGCAGGAGGGAGACTGACTTATGCAATCTGATGGTGTTAGGACAAGGGAGAATGGCTTTAAACTAAGAGAGGGTAGATTTAGGTTAGATGTTAAGAATAAATTTTTTACCCAGAAAGCAGTGAGGCTCTGAGACAAGCTGCCCAGAGAAGCTGTAGACACCCAACTCTGGTGGTATTAAAGGCCATGCTGGATGAGATCCTGGGCAACCTGATCTAGTGGTTGTCAACCCTTCCCATGACAGGGGTGGTCCCCTGCAATCTAAGCCATTTTATGATACGAAAGATGCTAACATCGTAACTTTTGGTATCTCTTACTCCCATTTCCCTTTGATCTTGCAGTAAAATTACAAAGGTCCTCCTCTTTTGGTGGAAAGTGAGAAGGTGGCCTTTCTGGGCCCAAACGCAGCCAGAAAACATACACCAGCATGCTATGTGATGTTATCAGCTGCCCCATCAGTCAGGTCATATGCTTTACCACAAGCTCTATGGGCTAATATTTGCTGTGGTTTGAAATGCAGCTTTTTGGGAAGTTGTGGTTGATGTTTGTCACTGGCAGTGCTGTCTTCTTGTGGCTGTTACTAAGGCCAGCATGAGCAAGGAAGAGGGGGGCCAACCATAATTATCCCTTCCCAGGAGGTAATACTTTTAACGCTCCTATTGGAAGGAGTAGAAAATGGGAGGATTGTTTTGCAGCACTACTGATGTTGATGATTGTGCTGCGTGTCTTGCCTATGCTAGGTCATGTAATTGGGCCAGATGCATTCTTCCCTTAGCAGCTCAGAGGCTTCTGTGTTGCAAGAGAGAGTTCTTGAAGCCTGAAACATGAACTACATTATTTGTATGCTCCTTTATACCTCTATCCTTGCTATGAATTGCGTGTGTATTCTGTCTTGTTTTAGTTTTCTTCCTTCACTGGTGGTATCAGGATGTTCAGGACATTTAAATGAAATCAAATGTTACTATTTTTTCAGCAACAGAGCCTAGTCTTGCTGCAGATTTTGTTGCTAATGTCACTTTCTCTTGCTGATTGCTGTTGAGGCTTCTGACCAGCTGCTGAGAGACACAAATCTCTATGATTTGTAACAATGGCTGGAATTGATTCAGAGCAGAAATATGTCTCAAAGAATTGTTGTTTCCCCTTGTTCATAGTAAAGTGTGTAGCGCTTCAATGCCCAAGAGCACGTATGGCTGCTAACCAAACAACATCCTGTTCAGATCCATCCTCCTACCTATTGATCACAAATCCTGTGGCTGCTACTACTGTGATATGTTTCCTCCCTGCTCCACCCACTCCAGGCTGCTGCTGGTGGTCTGCAGCTCCATATTTCCTTCTTCAAAGACCAAAATGTCCATGTTGCAGATGGTGTTCATAATAAGAATTGTGTCTCCAACAGTGCTAATGGCTGTGGGCTTCCTTTCATCCATCACAAATGTTTGAAACCATCTTCTAGCACCAACCACCCCTTTTTCAGTCAGCATAATGGGGCAGTTTTGTCTTGTGTCAGGGGTACCAGCAGGGATGATGAAAAAGTCTTAATTATAGTACCCTATGGATTCCCCATTTCCACTCATTCCTCACTGCTAGAGGTGGAATGAGATAGCAGCTATGAAGAAAAATCTTAAATTCTAGTTGTAGGAGTAGCCCATTGATCTTGTTGATTCATCTGATCTGAACTCAGAAATATCTTCCAAACTTTCGCTTGAAAATTAAATGCATTTTTAGGCTTTTAATGTGATACGAAGAAAACCTGAAAATGAATGGAAACTTTCCAGTGCAGCCTTTTTCAATTAAAGGTCACATCTTGATTTAGGAATTTTTTTTTTTTTTAAACTATTCTTATGTTTCTCTGATCTATTCAGTCTCTCTCAAACATGTTCTCTCTTTTTCCAGTGTGCAAAAGCAATACTTGGAATGCTGGGGAAAGTTGCTGGCTGTTTTAGAAACAATAGAAGATTTTGAAAGACCAGAAGTCCTGTGATAAAGAAGGCCAGAACAGTCAGTAAGTCACTGAGTACTCCAACTAAATCAGTAAATGTGACATTCCTCTGTGCTGGGTCTGGCTCCGTGCACAGCACTTACTACATGGCTTTCCTCTGGGCAATGTTTTCAGCCTCTAAGCTGTCATGGGAAAACATGAGATAGTTATTGGAGTGGTCTTGTAGAAAAAAGTGGGCCAGGAGTCAGCTGACAATACCTTATTTTAGTCTTTCCTCTGCTCTTCTGTATGTTTGTGTGGATCATTTTCTGCCTGCTCTTACACATATCTCCTGAATTCCTTGTCTGCTTAAAGAGCCTCTGATCTACTTTCTGTTTTACTTGCTTTAGCTGCTGTGCTGGACTCAGTTGACCAGATACAATATGCAGGCTTTCAGGTGATACTAAATTGATATCACAGAAAGATCAAGAAAAATCTGAGAGTACAATTGCCAAAGCATACCAGCAACTGAGGAAGGGCACAAGTTACTACTTCTGGAATTGAAACAAACAAACAAAGAAAAAACAATAATAAAAAAGCGCTACTCTTCATTTCCTGATTTTAATGGTATGATGTCCCAGGTTCAGATTTCATGCAAATACTATTGGAGAGGAAAACTTTTTGAAAATTAGGTAAGATAAATTCTCTTTGACTATTTCTGTAAGCTTGTCAGGTCTCAGCCGGAATGGGAGTTTGTTTTTTAAATCTACTCACAAAAATGTCTCCTTTATGTTGTTCATTCTGGGCAGTTCAGTGCATTAAGTGTATACTTTCTTCAATGCTTTTCTTTTTCTCTTGGAAAATAGATTTTAAATGAGAAAGTGTCTTTTCAATTTGAAGGCAGACGGCAATCTTTGTTTGAGACAATTGCAAACTAAGAAAGAATGAGCTGTCTGTTTTTAATTGGAAAGTACTTTCATGAAAAATAGCAGTTTTCAGTATTGCTTGGTTATTCTACAGCTTAATACAGTCAGAAAATGTTTTGGTCAAAGTAATTTTTACCATCAGTTGAATTATGTCTCCTTGGAGAAAAATAGGAGGAGAAATAACGTACAGAAAAAAAGTCTACCGATGCAACAGTGGATTAAAGCGAAGTTTTCAGAGGCATTCAGAACTCTCTCTCTTTCCTTATTAGAAGGTTGCATTACACTCTTTGCAATCCAAAATGTCATTTCCCAATAAAGTGGGAGGTGAGGAAGGGTATGGATAGAGCCACAGAAGGCATGGAAAAATGTGTAAGTATGTAATGCCTGTGTAGCTGTCACTGCAGTCCTTCCCTTCACCTGGCCTTCAAAACCCTTGCTGTCTTTCTCCATGAGCTCCTATTCTTGCTGTTTTGACCTTAGCTCCAGTGTAGAAAGCTTAAACCTACAGACCAAAATACCATGCAGTGTAAAGCTAAGCAGTTTCTTAAATGAGGGTTTGAACCAGATCTCTTTTAGGGAGAAAGATGTGGTGTTAAACTGCTGTCCTCCTGCAGAGGCTTTAGTAGAGCTGCGAATTTCTATGCTTCGGAGTACCAGTCTTCATGGGATTTCAGACTCATCTGTTACAAAAGGCAAATGACCCCGGTTTGAACTTCCTCCAAGTCTTCCCCTTATTGCTCGAAAACCTTTTTTCTAGCCAACTGAGCAACAGTTCAGTTCCACCCCTTCTCCCTCAAACACCACTTCAGTTTCTGACAGCTTTCCTACGTATTGTATCTAATGCACACTGCATCTAAAGTCTTGAACTGAGTCTGGTTACTCATGGCATTTCATGGCAGGAGGGATTCTTGACTGGTGTGTGAATAGTTGCCCAAGTTTTCTGCTTCTGAAGAAGGGATTCTGTAAGTGTGGCTTCATCATTAGCAAGGATTTCACAGCAAGGATATGAAGTTTTCCAAGCCACATGGCAAGGACTGTTTGTCTCTGAAAAGTTTGCCTAAAAGAGAGAATAGAGAGGAGGTTCTCTAGTAACTTTCTTCCATATAAAGATTTTAAGACATAATAGAAGAAGCAGTGCTATTTCTCAGTTTGCTCCTGCGTCTTATTGTGGGCACTGACTCCTGCTCTAGATTTCCAATGATTTCTGTGGTCCTGAAAGTCCTCCATTCTTGTTCCTTCCATCACTCACTACTCTTGGTTTATTCTTCCTTTATATTTTACAAAAGAGTGGCTAGACTCTAATAGTTTCATACTCCTGTTTGCTTCACAGCCTCCCCTAAAGTATAGTGCCAAAACATCTCCTTTTCCCAAATGAGTACCTATGGCTTTTTCGCTCTTTCTATCTTCAGGAAACACCTGAAAGAGACACCTAGTCAAAACCCTTTCCATCAGCATCAAACACCATCAGCTGTACTGGAAACAGACATTGTCTGAAGGAGTTAGAGTGACTCGGGATGGAAGCCTGTTTTGTTCTTTATTTTACAAGGTCTTACAAAACCTCTGATAACTGAAATGGGGAATCTCTGCAAGTCCATTGTGAAACTGCATAAATTTAGAACTTAACGAGTTGTAATTAGTGGCATTGTAATGATCTCCGTATGTTAGTAATTTGTTTAGTAAGAAATGCAGTTGTTTGCCATTCTGCGCTGCACTATGACAAATTAAAATTCAAACCATACAAGCCTCTGTCTTTCATAGATCTCTTATACAATATGTTTGTCAAGAATGTCCTAATATAAAAAGATGTGCAAAGCAGGATGCACAGAACTGTTCTATCTTGTTTCCATGGTGCCTCTTTGTATGCGAGAGGATCAAGTACATGCATGCCTGATTCTGTGTTGCAAGAGGTTCAGACCATCTTGAGGCTTGGATAAAGCAGCACTCAGACTATAGATTACCTTCTATATTACAGTACATCCTGAACTTAAAAAATAACCACCTTCCACGGAGAGTAGTATTGTCTAATAGTTTTGGTTGTCATGCCTGAAGGTGCTGTATAAATGACAAACAGACCTATGTTTGTATAATCTTCATTACTTTTAACACAGCTCAATATAATTTCACAAAATGTTTCATTTATTTTTATTTCAAAGATTGTGACAGTTAGGATTTTGAAGTACAAGCTGCCATCTGCAATCAATTTATGATCTCCCTAGTGCAATTGTGGAAAAAAAAAGGGGGGGGGGGGAAGAAAAATTATTTGGAGTAAAAAGCATTGAAAAACAAGTAGAGTGGAGTAATAGCACATCTGTTTTCGTAAGAAATCATGGAACCTGGACTTTTTTCAGTGTGGTATTTTACTACCACATGGCTTTAATCCTACATCTGGGCCTGTTGTTTTATGAAATATTTCCCACAGATGATGTCAATTATAATTTTTGTCCCGCTCGTCAATTTACGGACTTTTGGAATAAGACAAAATGAAACAACCAGAAAAAGAACAACTTATGTGGTCTACTCTCTGACAAAATTATAGCTGTGTGATACACTTCTAAAATCAATAACTCTGTTAATGATTAGCAGAAAACATTGCTTAGTTTATGAGCAGAGATGTGGCCTGCACTTGCCAGATGCTTGGCTCTGAGTTGCATTCTTGTTTGCTGTGTATTTACCAGCAGATGTTCAGCAGTTTATTTAATACCTCTTGCATGGGCCAGTAGTAGGCCTAAGTCTGTGCGACATTTATAAGCCATCTGCCAGCAATACAGGTGGAATGCTTTTATGATTTTTCTCTTCTCTCCCACTCTCTCTCTCTCTCTTTTTCCAGTGGTGATCTGTCAGTGAAATTATAGATAAGTCTTTATGGATTTATACAACTATTAGGAAATAGTGCTCTTATCTTTCTTATCTTTAGAAGAATTCTCTAAAATGTGTACTTCAGCAGATGTCTTTTCAACTGTTCTTTAATTACTGTTTTACACTTCTTAATCTGCAGTATTATATGAATGATCTAATGAAACTTTTTTCCTCAGAGAGACATTCCAGCTGTTTTTAAGTTTAGACCCTGATTTAAGTATGAATGACTTTTCTCATTGGAGTTAAATCTTTTTTTTTTTAATTGGTCTTTGAAAGAAGGACCTGGGCAAAGTAAAGATCCAGCTTGCGTTTCTGGCTTTCCCAGAGTTGAGGAGTATTTGAGTTTAGGGTTTATAGTGAACTAGACTTAAATTGTTTCAATGCACGGTCATGCAAAAATTCCAGTGCTGGTTTTAGTTGGAAATGCTCATGGGGTCTGATCCAAAGCCTATTGAAGTGAAAGGCTCTTGTTGACCTCAGTGGTCTTTGGATTGGGTCCATGGAAAAGTGTTTCTATGAAAAGAATGCATTTACTGTGGCCCCAGTTCAGCAAGGTATTTGAATATGCACATAGTGTTTCAACATGTGTATGGTCCTGTTGATATACACACGTGTTTATTATTATGCAAAGACTTGCATATCACCTTGAACTGGGGCCCTCAAGAGCCTCCACCTGTCCAAGCTGAGTGAGGATTTATTCCTTAGTAGGAAGAGAAGTTTGGCCCCAAGCTCTGTTGAGCTTGAGAAACCTGCTCTATAGAAGGGAAATCCATGCAAAAAGGCTTGTTTTCCTGGCTCAAGGCAGTCCTGACTGGCTCTCCAGAAGCATAAAGTAAGTAAGAAGATATTATCCTGTTCTTAATAGTGTATTGAACTAGACTGTACTTGGAGAAATTGATCCCAGGAGATCACTGTCAAGTGATCACAATCAGGCAAGGCAGTCCCTGGTGCATGATAAACTGCAGATTTGTAAAATATCTGAAGCTAAAGATACCAATAAATTGCAGAACCACATCACAAGTTGCATTAGCAGATGAATTTGATTTCTGTGTTGTGTATTAAGATAATTTGGATATATACATGCTCTTCCTGATTGCTTGCCACAGTATCCAAAACTGATGCATAAGGAACTGCTTTGTCAGTGAATAAAGCCAACCAAGAAAAAAAATTGCTCTTTTAAAGGAAGAAATCAGTTGTAGTTGAAGTACATAAGGACAAAAAGTAGAAATAGACATTCAAAAGTATACATTGGAACAACTGTTGATACTGTCAATATCTACTGAATATTCTGGCTGCAGGCAT